ATATATAAAAATAACTATATATATATATATATATAAGTAATATATGTATAAAATATTCCATTTACCAAATTGAATACTTTTAGAAATATGAATTTTTTTTTAAATATTCGTTCTTCAAGAAATATCTAAAACACTGGCTGATTCTTTTAAGGGCCGTCTTTCTAGTCATACTCAGTCAACGATATAATATTCAAAGATCTAAGAAAAGACAACATATTATGCATCTTAGAGCCATAAGGTCTCTATAATTTAAAGAGACCAGAATTTTGTGGGGCAAGGATATTCCTCTGATTACAACTTGTTAAAACATATTTATAAATCAAACACCCACAAAAACCTTCTTTACAAGTGGGGCGGAAATGAAAAATAATATATTCGGTGCAAATTAATAGTATTTTTTTATGTTATTCCATCAACACCCTGAAATTTTGGCCAAAAGGCACTTTCCTTCCTGGAGGGGAGATAGGAAGAAAAATTTACCTATCTCAAGCGCTATCCTTAAAAATATTTCTATATTCGCGAGAACATTGTCTTAGAAATTTTCCGCTCATATTTCTTACCACAGCTACATGTAACCTATTGATTCATTCCCCTATTAAAATAATGAAAATCATATGATTCTACCATCTTTATAGATGTTATTTGTCTGAGTAGTAAAATAGTTAAAATCTAAATGAATTCAAGAAACTAGTTAAATTTTCAAGAACTTGATCGGAATTTTAATCACAACAAGACTATGTCTTTAATCATATAGTTTGTTGCCAAATTTCTGAAAGCACCTATTCTGAAACTTAAGCCACTAAGTAATGCTGTAATAGAAATATGTGACTCCGATGTCTATGAAAGTTCTATGATATCTTTAATGGGTAGTGGTAGCATTAAAAAAATTTAATGGGCTAGTAACAGTTTTGGAAAATGTGATAACCAAATTAAAATGACTAATGAAAATTGAAAATAATGGATATTCTTTTAATCCTAAAGTGTTAAAGTTGGGCTTAGTAAAATATTACTATAATATTGGCATCCTCTACCTTAAGGGAATTCTAATGTGGCAGATTATGACTTGAAAACAAAAATATTTGAAATTTCCATTTCACTCTATAAATTTTCAGAATTTTTCTTTCTCAAATTTTCTTAGATGTTTTTCTTCTGGAAGAGGGAAAAGGTGGGGGGGGGAGCGGGTATGTTAAGTGGTTTTATTTCTAGGGTTTATTTTGGGAATCTGTTTACCTAAAAAATTTTAAGGCCCAACCCGACCAGGATATTTTAAAAAACAGGACCGGCCCCGCTCCGCCCTGGTACATGAGCCGGGCCTGCTGGTCTCAGATAAAATATAAAATTATTTATAAAAATAATTTTACCAGTTTGGAGTGCACATAATATCAATAGCGAGATTTTCATCAACATTTTTCTTTAAAAGTTCTTTAGAGAGAATATATTTTCTTCTTAAACAAAAAAAAAAGATTTACTAAAATATTTTTATACAAATTTTGAAGTAAAAAAAATATAATAGCCTTTTAGTATGTATTTCTATTGCTATTGTATGTTAGAAATATGCTTATCTCAGTGAAATTTAATTAGATTTTATAGAAATAGGGTTCATCATAATATCTAATATATATATGAAATTAGTAAGTATAATCTTAGATAAATTTTAATTATTATAAAATAAGTTCACGAAAAATATATAAATTTAAAAGAAATAATTAAATATAAAAATTTCTGATTTTAAAAAAAAATGGCTTCCTTTAATACCTCAAATTTATAATTATAAATTTTATTTTAATATTTAAATGTTTTATGTGACTCGTCCAGATAATGAAAATAGTTAGTAAATATAAAGACAGCCAGGGAAAAGTCTTGTCCTGATAATTGTTATGGTCCCTCTTTTAGATAAAGGTTAACACTTGATTGGAAAATTTATAAAATTGTGATAAAATCTTTTTTAATGTTTGTTGTAGTTTATTAGTTTACTAGGTTAAAATATGTACTAAAAGCAATCGTTTTTCGTATTGCCTACCCAATGATAAATTTTAATGGCTGTGGCAATTTGGCCGTTTGAAGGTAACATAATCATTCGCAAATAAATTGTTTGCTAGGTTGAATGGCAAAACTTATATTTAAGTAATATTAAATTAATAATTTTTAGGTTAAAAATCCTAATATTAATGAAAATAAGGAAAGACCCTAGGGAGCTTCTGTAGAAAAATTTATTAATTTCATTAAACATTTCTGATTTCCGAATAGATTTATTTATCGTAAATTGTGTGAATTGGGGCTAATTAGTGTAAAGTTCATATTGGGATTGGCGAACAAGACACGTGAGTATAAAAAAATAAGAATAATATGACCCCCCCCCCCTCTGTATAAGTTATTACAATAACTAAGGCGTTCGATTTTTGTGAACGCTTATTGCGAGCGCGTTTGATTATTCAATGTTTGCATTGTGCTGTATAGTTTTAGTATATTAGGGGCTCTTCAAATTTTTGCTGAGGTTCTAGTCACTGCACCCGCTCCGCCCCTCAATGACGCTATTGACTAAATTATACATTATAAAAATAATGTTTAACCAATCAGCTGCAAGCAATTTTTGCTCCAATATTTACGTGATTATAATGGCCACCTTGGACTCAATATGATGATCAGAATTATTTGTACGCATTTTTTTTTTGAATATAAGAACGCTGGACCTGATGGGCGGGTGTGTCGTATTTTTTTAAAAAATTTTTTTTTATTTACTCATTATTTCTTTTAAACAGATGTACTTAATTTTGAAAGTTGAAAATAATTTTCAATTATCACATTTTTTTGATTTTAAAATATTTCATTTGTAAAAATAAATTATTAGCCTTATATTAGAGATCTGGTCGGGCTTGGGCCTAAATATTTAAAGAAGCGAGTTCGGGCCGGGTCGGGTCGACCCTTGGAAATTTATTTAAATATATCTAAATTTATCAATTTTATATTGAATTTTTTATGCAAAATGTCAATACTTGATTTTATTTATAGAAACTAGGCCATATAACGTATGTCTTTTATTTTGAGTAATTATATTTCTATATTTAAAAAAAATTCTGGTTCATGCCGGGCCGGTTTTGGGGCCAGGCCGGGTTTGAAAAATTAGACGGGATGCAGTTCACTACATAATATATAGATGGCTATTTTTTCTATACTTTGAGTATTTCTTTTATCTAAGCTTTAGTCTATATTTCTTTTTAAGAAACATTTTGGGTTATATAAGTTATTTTTTCTCCTGGAGTAAATAAAATTTGATGCCGTTTACAATACTCATATCAATATTTTTTTTTATAAACATTTCATACTATTTCCAATATATGTTGATATGCTGATTACATATTTCTGTCACCATCCCTAATCAGAATTTCGCTGAATCAACATAACTCTAGAATTCTTCTTAAAAGATAAAAGATTTTTTTTATCAAAATTAAAAAATATTTTGAGAGCCAGTATGCAAAGCTGTTAATTTTTAATAACTTCTATTTAAAAGAAGGAGATAGCTCCTCCAGCTACCAAGTTTTTCTTAACGAAGTATTTTTAATTTTTTCTAATATAAAGTATATTTTAGATGGACGCAACCAAAAAAAAAAATTATATATTACTTTTATAAGTATAACTAAATTTTTAGAAATTTAAAAATCTTGACAAGCCAGTTACCCTTTCTAGCCTATGTTCCGTTTAGCAATACTAAGTAAAGCTACCAACAGGAGCATTTTAGATGGGAAAAGGGGGTATGTGTGAAAGCATAATTTGGGATTTATGAAGGGATCGAATAAGATTTTAGTAAAAAAATAATCTTATGTAACCCCTGGAGATTTGGCAAATATGTTCAAACCATTCTACCACATAATATTATTTTGGTTACAGAGATAAACAGCCATTTTTTTTAAAATTGACCAGAATAAGATTTTTTAACAATATTTGTGGTACTATTTGTTAAAAAAAATTTGTGTCTAATATATTAATCTTCTTGATGATAATCAATTTGATTTCAGCTTGGTATACTTCTATTCAACCATGACGCTTATAGCATTGTCAACCATGTTATCTATGGATGTCCCTGAGTAACACCCTCTTTTTCAATCCACTGATTTTATTAGCCATAATATTTTATATTAATTTCTCATTTTTGCTACTTTTTTTTAAAGAAACTTAAATATTTTTGCATTTGTTTCATCGCTTTATTTTTCGAAACCGGTCCGACAAAAAAATACCGATCAATTTTCGAAGATCCAGACATAGCTATTATTATTCGAAAATTTTTTAGTTATAAAGATTTTATTTATATAGAATTATTATTTCATAAATACGAGTAAAAACTCTCCATTCCCTCGCATATTCTAGTTTAACCCTTGGAAATGAGTCATACGCTAACCATGGTTATGTAGGAAGTTATCAGTATCACAATGGTGGTAGCTCACCGAATTTGCACCATAAAATCCATATATCTCCTTTAAACGCCATGCAAATACTATGGATAAATATAATCATGGATGGACCTACAGCTCAAAGGTTTCCAGATAATTTTACTGCTCCTATATAATAATGATTGGTTAGTTAATAATAGGAATTAAAAATTATCTGACGTGGCTAATTAGTAAAAAAATATTGTGTACATTCAATTTTTTGAATGTCGTTAACTTTGAATTATCTATAATTTAAATTGATACAATTATAATATGGATTTTATCAGTTAATATTCTTTTCGAGTTAATATAGATATTAGAGTCTCAATTTAATTCAAAGGTGTAGGCGCCACATTTTTAGGGTGGAGTGGAAATAAAGTATTAGATGTAACCAATGAATTTGGTGTTTTAAAAAAATTTTTTAAATTTATTTAAGCACAATTTTTTTAAATTTGTAATAATATTGGATTTATTTAAATGATTATTGATATCAATTAATAAATTTTTTTAATATAGAAAGCAGTAAGTAAAGTTATATATATAAAATATTTATTAATATCAATTTTGTTGGTTTATCTTACAAAGTAAAATTATATAATTTCGAATGACTTTCTTTAATATGAAGCTCTAAGGTAAAATGAATAATCAGTCGTAAATTAGCCTCTCCAACATCAGAGATTTTGTATCCCAAAGTTTGCCATTGATCACCCTGTAATTATTAGGAGCGAGCTCGTTATCGTGATAATTTTTATTGTTCATTCCCGAATGTTCCTTAATCTGGTTTAACCCTTCATGAAGTTTATCCCTGGCTACCGATTGGTCCTCCATGTTGGTCATCATGTTGTCATTACCTAGAAAAGGGTCCATTTTTCTTCGTTCTTGTATAACATCGTTAAACCTATGAGTGATGAGCCCGCAATTCTTCCCAACATCGTGTTCGAAATTTCTTTTGTTTCCATTTTCGTCCATTCCATCATCCCACCCTCCTTTTTTTCTAAGATTTTTCCATTCCTCATATGAATTATCGTGCCTTTCTTCCGGTTTTCTGTCGTTCCTCTCGAAGCCTTTCCTCTGAAAAATATGATCCGGATCGGTGAAGGAATAATCCTCAGTATCGTATACAGGAAAGGCTTCCAATTTAGCATTGACGAACGCCTTTTCCGTTTTGTAGATTGTTCCTTTGGGAGTGATTTTGGTATTGGTCGTTATCCCGTGACTCTTTTCAATCGCTATTTTGGCAAACTTGAAGTTTTCTAGGATTAAATATATAACAATATATTCCCCCAGGTATAATTATTAAATAAATATTTTTTCACTCCTCAAGGAATGGTTATTTAAACTTTACTTTTATCATCTTATTTAAGACTTATGCTCCACATACAAGTAATATTTTTAAATACTCCTAAATTACCAGTAAAGAAAATTTGAAATAGGGGTAATCAAGTTAGAGGTGTTGTATCTTAAGAGCTGTTTTTTTTTAAATGGAAAATCTATTAAAAATACAGGCTTAAAATATAATTTCAAAACACTCAACATTTAAAATGAATTACTTCGAAAAAATTTCGGTCAACTGGGGATCATGGATTCTGTTTTAAAATTTGACAATCAGCCCAAATTATCTAGGTTTCCTTGGAACTCAACAACAGCAGTCTAATTTTTTGAGCGCGTTTTTAAGAATTTAAAAATCTGATTAAACCGGAAATGGTATTCCATCATGTTTGGAATATAATATCCTAATGAAATTTTTAGACCATTTTATTTTTATAAACTTTTAAATTTAATATAATTTATATTCGAATTTTCCATACATTTTTTATATAAATTATAAATAACTTCAAAGGTTTAACAGCAAAATTGTCTACAATTTATTAGATAGGTAATTCAAAACATGATAGAATATATTTCTGGTAAAAATAAGGATTTTAAATGTTATTTTTATAAATACTGTTGTGTAGTATAGATTTAATTTGGGAAACATTTCCATATTTTTTATAAATTCATTTGTAAATATATTTATTTATTGGTAATGCGAAGAAATGGACTAAGATAGTTTGAAGTGAAACGTAAGACAAAAGATGACCGGGTAAAGCGATGCACCTTAATGGAAGTAGGGGGGAGGGGATCAAGACCTAGAGGAAGGCCCGAGATGACGTGGATAAATGTGATAGCAGCGGATATGAGAAAACTGATCTTACAAAGTATTTATGCTCAGGACCGTCAAAAATGGAAAAGAAAAATCAGATGGAAAGCTGGCCAACCTGGGCAAACCCGGAAATCGCCATTAAACGGAGAAGAGATGAAGAATTTGTAGAAATTTATCTGGTCAACACTGTATAGTTTCATGTTATTTATAATTTTCTTTAAAATAAATAAAATGATTTTAACCTCTTCTAAAAAATTTTTTTTATCTTAAAAAAAGGTTTTTATTCCCCCGTCATTAATTGTAAAATAAAAACTTAAAAATAAAGTTTGGAGATAGTCTTAGATAAAATATAAAAAAGATATACACCTGTCAAATCACATTTAGCTCTTAGCCCACTTTTTTTTAAAAATTGGTATAAAATTTATAATGTGCTACAGAGTATACAGATACCTTCATTATTTCCGCTCCCAGAATCGTAAGTGGCGAAAGGATGGGCATATTTGGACCACTGAAAGCGTTTCGATTTATCGAACCCTTCTCTTTCAAACTCATCATAATTTCTCCCCATTTTTGGTAGATCTTCATCCCCGTTATAGCGGTTTGGGCTATCGGCGGTTCCGCTAATATCACTTTTCTCGAAATTTAAATCATTCCGATGTTCATTAGATCCTTCATAATCTCTGGAATTCTTTGAAAAAAATTATTATATAAAGACGACTGTTGGTTTATCTAATATAATTATTAAAAATTAGATATCTAAATTCTGTATAGAGGGGATGAAAGAACTGCACGAGGATATTATGAATATAAAATCTATGATAAACAAAATGAAAAACAGCCAAAAATATTTATAAATATGCTCCGGCTAAATTTGCCATGTTCAAAGTATTCCACATTCAATCTTGTTCCTTTGATTAAATGATATATCGTTTACTGAATTATATTTCTTGTTAGAGTCAATGCTGGAAATCAGGCAATATGGCTATCGTCTTAAGTTAAATCAGTGAGTGTAGTATATATAAAAATGCTTTAAATTTATAAGGTTATATCTATTACAGTTAGGGTAGAATATTTTTTCCTAGGTCACATTTACCATGAATTCTAAGTCGTTTAAATTAATTTTTCAGGCTTACGCGGATTTCCTAAAATTGAAGTTGGTTCCTATTTCCGGTTTCAAAACTGTTAAAGTAAAAAAATAAACAATACTATAAACATCCGAGGGTTCAAGGTTCCCGTTTCCGGTTTCAAAACGCTCCTTTAGGATACAACATTCCTATTTTTACATTATCAACTTACGAAAAAAGTAAAATTAGCTTTTGGACACGTGACCTTAAAAAATACAGATGTTTATCAGAATTATAAAATATCGAAAATTATTTACTCGCCTCTCCCTCATGTTGTCTTGTTGCATAGCTCGTCCATTTCTAAAAAAACATATGTTATATAAATATTATTCTTTTTAAAATCAACCAACTTTAATTAATATAAAAGTTTGAAGCTCTTCCTTTCGAGGAACAATCTTAAAATTGCGGACCAATATGCCCCATATTAAAAAAATTATTTTATGTTAGGGTCGGATCGGACCAAGCTGGAAATACGAAGCCGATAAAATCAGGTCCCAGATTCTCTAAACTTCTATATTATAAGTAAATATTTTTTATACCTTTTTGATCTATATGGAAGTAAAAGAGATTTTTTGTTACATTCGGCGTTTTCGTTCACGTCACAATCGATATCTCTGCTGCCAATTTCATCTTTCTAAACAATGAGGAGGTGGGGGGTGGGTAAAATTAACTTAGTATATCATACCTTTAAGATATAGTAAAATATTATACTTTTACAATTATAATGTTGGGTACCCTGTGAGGTTTATACGTCCATCCTTCATTTAAATCGGCTTCAAAATCGTTATCTCGACACTCTTTATCACCTACCCTTGCATTAAATAAATTTGAAATTGGCTTTCTTAGAAGGTAAGTGTCTTTTAAACCGTCATTGATCTAAAATACGGAATTATAATATTACATTTTGCTTAGAATTTAACTTTTTTATCAGTAGAAGATGTTGAAGGCTCTGATAAGCAGGTCTCAAAATATCTACTTTTAATTTTCGACTTACATTCCGCCAAATTATTATCACATAGGCCCATGTTTTCTCGATTTTTAGTTTTATGTTTAATATATTCAGCTATATATTTGTATATTAATTATATATTATATAGTTTATATGAATTAAATTTTAATTATTTATACAATTAGAATGATGTAGGTGTGTGGTTCTCATCTTTGAATCTTTAAGTTCTTTTATTTTTTCATCTTCTATATCAAATGGATCTTCTCTTATTATAATCATTTAAAATATTTGTAAATAGCATATAATTTATTAAAATTTATTTTGATTTAAGCTTTACTTTTCTTCATTCAAGGTAGCCAATGGTTTATGAATATGTTTATACACATTAAATTTAGGTTTATTGTTGGAATTTTCATTTTCAATATTTACATATTTAATCGTATTGCTATCTAATAAATGGATTGTTATAAAAAGAATATTAAATATTTCAAAAATATTTACTAGATATTATTTTTCCTGATATGCGATTGGCATAACATAGCGCTTTTAGATCTGATCCAATGGTATTTAAATTATTTACTGTTAGTTTATTATCGTACGATCTTTTTTGTGCGAAAAATTTCTTTATTTAAATATATCATATTTATAAAAGAAATGTTAAAATTAATGTTTTAATACTTTTTGTATATTTTTATCTTCTTTGGAATTATATTTCTGCTTATACCTATTCATCCAATTCATGATACAAATTTTTTTTTTTCAATAGCGCAGACGATTTTAAAAAAATAAAATAAAATATAAATTTTTTTTACAGGATAAAAGTTTTTTATTAATTAATATATTAGGCAGTAACGAATCGTAAATCATTTGGAAATTGTAAATTTAAATGTAAATGTAAAATTGGAAATAAGCTAATAAAAGAATAGAATAGTGTATTTAATGAAAATTAATTTAAAATAATGATAATAAAATCGGTTGATGCCATGCAATCAGGCGCATGCCAAAAAAGTCAGCTAAGCATCTAGAAGGGGTGATAGTTATGATAAAAACGTATAAAACGGTAAAAACCTAATTGAAAAATATTTTAAAAAAATGTTCAAAAAACTGTTTGATCGGGTCCAAACGGGTCAGGGTAGGTTGAATCATCAAGTCTAGCTATCCAAAACTTTAGTAAATATACTTAAGAAGTAATAAACTTAATTAAGGAAAATAAAAATAAAAAGGCTTGTATCAATTTGAGAGTATAGCTGAATTTATATCTAAATACGCTTTGTCGAAACGTTGCGTTATTAAAAACGCTATCGAAAAAATCATAACTGATTCTTCGTAGAGTTTTAATATTGTTTTTTAAAAAAGCGAAATATTTTATTTAGAGGATACCGGGGTTATATTGTCCATAAAAAATTGGAGTGTTATATAAAAAATAGACAAAGCAATTTTTCTAAAATGTTTAAACATAATTTTATTCTTTACATATATCTCTACGGTAGAAATTAATATTTAAGAAAAAAATAATTTAGTTTTTAATTAGTGAGAAATTTAAAAAAAATGAAAATTTAAATTTTATGAAAAACACCAGGGGTAGCTATTATCCTTTCACGTTATGTGTCATAGCGCTTACATTTTTTTTATATTAAAGTGTTGATTCTAAGTAAATAAATAAAAATAAATTGTCAAAATATGTTAAATTTATTAGGGTTCATCTATATCACATATGTCACCCGGAAGTACTTGTTGTCACTTAAATCAATATAATTACAAAAATTAAGTCAATAACCTTCATATTGTCACTAGTGGACCTATAAAAACTAGTGGCTTCTAATGTCTTTATAAATTTAGTTGGATTTTTTTTTATTCAAAATAATCCCTGCCCTGCTTAAAAATGGCTAATACGCACCCCACCAAAACCTGCCCCAGGCTTTCCCAATTAATTAAAATATAATTTTAAGATATTAAATTGCCATAAATTTTGTATCAATTTTCATATATGATAAAATGGAGATTTTTTTTATCATTTAGAATTAATATTAAGTCCAAACAACCGTTTATAAAAAAAAGTTATCAGTGAAAACGTAAAATTTTAATAAGTTTTACTTTGGGTATGTTGAAATTTAAATTTGCATTTAAAATTTTTCATGAGCAATTTTGTCCGTAACATTTTTGGGCCAACTTAAACACCTTATTAAAATACGGCTAAAATTTTAAAACTTAAACTTTATTAATTTTTAAATTATTCGAGAGGAAATACCTGCTCCGGGATCAAACTATCCCCGGTCTCCCTTAATAATTCAGAAATATTATATAACTTTTTATCGAATTCGCTATTATTTTTTATAATCGCACAGCAACATATGTTTTTCAAATTTTAACATAGCATTATCATTCATTACGCTCCATATTTATAAATTTTGTGCCTTATTTGTTAAGCTTGCTTTTTTAAATAACGCATCGCTTAATAACGGGTTTAGTATGAAAATGCCTTAAATAGTAAATAAGTAATTGGAATCATTTAGCAAAATATGTGACGGAACTAAAGTCGCAAGAATCCTTCCAAGAAGTCTGACTCTTAAGTTTAACTCATATGTCTCATTTAAGTGACTGAAATCTTGTTCAATGACTTTAACAACATTAGGCAAATTGTAAACTGAGAAAAATGGCTCAAAAATAGTGGGGCAAAAAAATTCAAATTTAGAAATCAAGGAATGTAAATCAATCTTCTTCTTCTTCCATATCACTAATTCCAAAACTAGTTGAGATCTTTAAAACGCCTCCCATCTTTCCATACAGCTCGGCTTTGGGCCCATATCAACGACAATTTTCTTATCTAACATGTCCTCACGGTTCTGAGAAATCCAAGTGTAGTCGTGGCCTGCCTCTAGTTTGTTGGCTCGTAACTCCAAGATCAGAACTTACCGATTCACATTAGTTTGAGCACAGTTCTTAACCCCTGTCCATACATTCTCATTCTACTCTACCTTTATCTTTTCTGAAAATGGAGCTATTCTCACCTTCTTTCGTAAGCTATCATTGGTCATACGATCTGGCATGGTGTAGCCTAGGTTCCCTTTCATCATACCAATTTTTTTTTAAAGCAAGTATCTTTTTTTCTTTCTTTCTTTCAAAAAATTTTAATATTTTTTTTAACTGGATAAAAAAATTTTTTTTTAGGTAGAAATGATTTATATACATGAAATTTAAGGAATAAAAAAAAATTAAAGAATAACCTAGGGTGGTGGATATAATATTTTACTTGTTTACTAAGAACTAAACTTAAAAGTAATGAAAAAAATATTTTTTAGCAATAACAAAAAAAAACATTTTTTTTAAAAAATATATTTTTTAAGTGGATAAAAAAAAAGAAATTTTTGGGTTAACTATTAAATACAAACAAATTTGCGGAGACGCAATATAAAAACGCCTAAAGGACAATAATATTTTTCGACAGGTTCAAAGAAAAATTCCAACTATATTCTATTCAAATTATACTTTGATAAATATTTTTCAGAAATTTAAAAAAGAAAAATATTTTTAAAAAATAATAAAAATATTTTTAAATAATTAAACTAAAATTGGTTTATTTTTTAAAATATTTTTGGCTCAATAATCATAATCGTTTGAAGATATTTTTTATAAAATCTTTTAAAACATCCAGTCCCCCCCCCCCTTTCCTCATTTATTTAAACCGAAATAAATTTATCCAAATAAATTTATAAAACTTTATAAAATAGAACTTGAGATGCCTAACCTAAATTTTCGACTAATTTTATCGATATTAATGATAGCATTCATATCACGTGCTTCGATCATTCCAGAAGATTTCACTCAGAAGAATTGTAAGTCTTTCCCCTTGAATTGAAAATAAATATTTTTTTTTTAAAAAACACGCATTTCTATTTTATGATAGGGAGAGCTAGCTATAACAGATTATATATAGTTTTTTTTTCATAGTATACAATAGACCTGCCTACATCTGCAGGGATCAGTGTGCTGAATTTTTAAAGATTAGAATTTCTAAAAAAAAAAAACTCATGCATTATACATATAAACTAACACGTTTGAATGAAAATTTAGATCTAAATAACAAATTAAGCATTGGATTTTTATTATATATTATTTTTTTTCATCTCTGCTCATTATTTCATGATTAATGCTATATGCCAAAGCTGAATCCAAACATAAATTGGTGGAACACCCAAAAAGGGAATGAAATAAAAGTTTAAATTAAAACATATGTAAAACTCGATCCGGCAAATATTCAATCCGGAAATTAAATTGATTTATCAGATGTGGAAAAAAGTAATATATAATTGAAGAATTGGTATCTTAATTAAAGGTCCTCAATGGCTGGTTTTTGGCTCTTACATCTTTTTCCGCTTCTACGCGTTGGCGCGGGCGGGCTATCTAATATATTTCAAACATCCGGCGGGTGGCGGAGAAGGGAGCTGATAAATATTTGTTAAAAAAATGGCGGTTTGGGGGCCATGTTAATTTTAAATATTATTAAAATACCATCTTTTTAATTTCAAAATATCGCAATTAACGAGTGGGCGGCTTGTTTGATTTGACTCGTCCGCTGCAGACCCCTAATCAAGATACAATAATTAGATTTAAACTGGACAAGCGATAAGGTTACTGGCTATATATGTGTATGTTTTTATGAAATTTAAAAAAAAAAAAGATTTGTCTAGTTTTAACATGAGTCAATTAACTTCCTGGATGAATCGAAGTGTGGATCCATGCACAGATTTTTACGAATTCGCCTGCGGTGGTTACATCCAAAAAACGTCAATTCCAAGCGGTTTTAATGAGTGGAATCCACTTAAAGCAATGTCAGAATCGATACTTTTAACTATAAAAGATATATTAGGTAATTATTCATTCATCAAAGGAACAACAATGGGTTGGTAAGAAGGATCAGTAATGCCAAAATTATCTCGAGAACTAGTATTTAATTACAGTTACTAGGTAAATTTTTTCAAAGTAATAAGTGTAACTTGAAAATAATATTAGTTAATTATGTATTTTGAAAAGTTACAAGTTAGAGTTATATTTTTTCTTAAAAAGTAGTTCATGATTTAGGTATAACTAAGTTACTTGTTAATATTTAATTTAAAAACACCACAGTGATAGTATAACCTTTCATAAAATATTCATTAGTTACATTAACACGAATAGATAAGTTACATGGATAAATTTTTTAAAAAAAAATGTAATAACAATTAACGAAAAAAAATTATATCTATACATCATATAAATAAATATAGAAAATCCTCATACAAAATACGAAGCAAGGGCGGAGAGATTGGCCAAGACATATTATGATTCTTGTATGGATGAGGCCAATATTATAGAAAAATTGGGTGGAAAGCCATTAACCGATCTATTAGACTTATATGGAGGTTGGGATGTGTTGAACGTGGATAACAAATCTTCCCCTTTCATAGATGAATCTTCCAGCTTAAAGAAAAGTTTTTTCTTTGAATTTGTAGTTTACATTTTATTGACGAGTGATAGAATTAAGAGTTTCAGGAAATTTCAGGCATTATTTCATTTCAACCATTCTTCTCTTTCTCTTATTTTTATTATTAATAAAATAACTCCAACCATTTTCATTTTTTTTTATGTTATTTAATCTAAAAAGTACAATTTATCAAACAAAATTAAACACATGGCAAAACTATTGTCAAAACTTTATATTTACATAATTGTCTTTATATTTTAGATTAAAATTAAAATTTTTTAAAAAAAATTGAATATATTAGAAATAATATTGAGTTTATATTATCCTCTGTAATTAATATATTCTTATTAGAACATACATAACCGTATCCAGAATTTTCCTATAGGGAGAAAATCTTATTCAGCGGGGTTTTTGGCCATACAGCCATGGCTGCTCCATCTGCTGACTGGAGATCGTTAGGTCCACCTATTCTTATATAAAAATAATTTTGGTGCTTTTTTTTATCTGAAAATTAGGCACTGTTATAAAGTCCGATTAGGGTTGATAACCAAAATGACATTATTTAAGGCCTGAAGATATTGCTCGTTGACTGGCAGAAATGCTTCAGGTATCTGTTTGCCAGATCTCGATGCTCAGGCTCACATAATATTATTTAAGCTAAACTCTTAACAGAACCCGTATTCAAAACACGAACATAAATAGGGCTATTTTAATAACACTAGTTTATCGGTAATAAATAATGCTTAATAATTTAATCTTTCAAATTCTTTTTTGTTTTGTTTTAAATGATAATATTATATGGTAATAATATACATTTTTAATTTAATTTTTTTAATAGATTGAAGTATTATTCTATAAGAAGATGTTAATTTAAACAGTACATTTATCGATAACTGAGGATTGTGTTAGGAAATATTGGATAATTTAAGAATTATATGCAAAAAGTAGGGAAGTTTATTGAAAATGTTATTGAGAATAATTCTTATTTCAGGATTAGATATAATAAAAATTAAGGACTTTAACAGTTTTAAACATTTCAAATAACTTTTCCTCAGAATGAGAGCTATTCGCAGAATTTAGCAAATTTCTAACCGAAATCCGGTTCATACACCGAATTTAAGCGGCCCTTAAAATAATAATTATTGAAATCCGGGCCGGTCTTAGAGTAGAGATAAATCAATTTATAATCCGATCCGGACCAAAAAAATTTTTTTTTAACAAATTCGGGTGGGGCAGATTGATCGCAGAGGAAACCGGGGTAAAGAGGTTAAAATGGTAATCCAATTTTAACCCGAATAATTTCTTTGAGAAGTTATATTTTCGTATAATTTCGTAGTTCATTAAAATATAAAATATATATTTGGTTTAATATATATTTTGCCAAAACAAAGCTTATTTTTATTTTAAACTCATTAATGTAAATATTCTAAATGTGCTAATTTTGACAATATCTATATATGCAACTATGCCAAGATCGTAATTCTTTTCTCAAACTAATATCAGGTTCAGTGTTAGGTTTAACCCACTCTACCCTTGGGTTTAGCGGGAAAAGAATACATTTCACATAATTTTAAGCATATTTTTCTAAAGTATTTATATAAATATAAATATATTTTTTTTTGTGTGAAAGTGAGGTATTTGAAATTTCGATTTTATGATTTGTTTTATATTTACTTTTAATTTCAATGGTAGATGGAAGATGGTGGAAGGTTGGGGTGCAAAAGACTGATTATATTACCACGGTCCTCTCACAGTTATTTTACAAAACCAAAATTATTAAAATTAGCCAAATTTTATGAATTTTTGTAGTGGGGATCTTATAAAGGATAGAAAAATTTGAAAATAATTAAAACAGGATTTTCAAGAGCGATTCCTAATTAAATATTGTTTTCTTTCTTTCTTTCTTTCTTTCTTTCTTTCTTTCTTTCTTTCTTTCTTTCTTTCTTTCTTTCTTTCTTTCTTTCTTTCTTTCTTTCTTTCTTTCTTTCTTTCTTTCTTTCTTTCTTTCTTTCTTTCTTTCTTTCTTTCTTTCTTTCTTTCTTTCTTTTTCTACCTACTTTCAATTATTCATATATTCTCTTCCGATTTCCTATTCCTTTCAAACTAAATGGAATTTGACTAAAATTTGAATTTATTTATTCTCCCCCCCCTCCCCCCTCTCCACATAGTCAGATACCCTGATGGCTTTCTCGCCAATTTCGGATTTATATTCTTTGAACTATATCCGTGTTTAGACCCCAAAAACTCTTCCAAATACATACTCTGCATCTCTCCAGGGGAACTCACCCTCCCATATCGTGATGATTACTATAGCAATGCTACCTATAACATTACACGTTACGATGCTTATTTAGAGTACATGATGAACGTTGGAAATTTGCTGGTATATAGTGCAGGGGCCCCTAAATTTTCCAAAACAGGGAGCAAAGATAGAAGATGCAATCAAAGCGATACTAATCTAACTTGCCACGCTTCGGGCAAAGAAGATTATCGGACGCAGATAAATAATGGACTCGCATTCGTTATGAAGAACGTGCTAATATTTGAGTGGTTATTAACTGACGTTTAAATTATTTCAATCAATTTTTATTTTCGAATATTCTCGTAAAATGATCAGGAATGCCTGGAATTTAAAAATGTTACCATTTTTTTTTTAAAATCTTACGCAATTTGACGAAATCCCTAATTGAATTAATCTAATATAAACCGAATTCGCAGAAGTTAGTACGAATTTTCGGTGAAAGAATACCAAAATCCCAGAATATTTTGGGCGCATTTTGCCGAAAATTCGCGCCAAAACTTACGAATTTCGCGATTAAGCAAAAAGTGACGCATATTTGATCAGTCCCAGAGTTACGAGATCAAGAAATCAGGCTCTAATTTTAAAAATTATTTTGGCATAATTTAATTTCACGAATCGCAATTTATGATTTCTTTAGTATGAAAATGTACGCCACAAATATCACGTCAAATATATTTCCCTTTTATTAAAAAAAAAGGATATATATTTCGTATTATGATTTTCCTCTTCTCTTCTCTTCTCTCTCTCTTCTCTTCTCTTCTCTTCTCTTCTTCTCTTCTCTTCTCTTCTCTTCTTCTTCTCTTCTCTTCTCTTCTTCTTCTCTTCTCTTCTTCTTCTCTTCTCTTCTCTTCTTCTTCTTCTCTTCTCTCTCTCTTCTCTTCTTCTTCTTCTTCTCTTCTTCTTCTTCTTAATATTTCATCCAGAAAAATATTACGCAAGCATGAAGATTTTGCTTCATAGAAGGAACAAAGGTTTAGACATATATTATCGAAATCTCGAGGCTAAAGCAATATTTTTCTGGCTAAAATATTGAGTTAACCGGTTTTAAAAACCGGTTCAAATCGAGCCGTTTATCAACGAGTCGTATGAGTCGGTAAAGTTTAATATATATTATTTTAATCGATTTTTAAAAGGGTAAACACCGTAATGAATCATTTAAAGGAAAAAGGGTTAGGGTTAGGGTGGAATTACATTAACATGATTAAGATTATTTTTTATATATTATCAAAAATAATTATTAATTTTATTGATACATAACCAGTATACTACATTTCCGCTAAATTTGCTTGCTCTTGACCAATCCAATTACGTCTTAATGTCGTTAAAAGAGTTGGACGAAAAGTTTGATTTCGTAAGTGTTAATAATCTAAGAGAATATATGTGACAATTTTAGCCAAAAAATGTCCCATGGCATGATATTAAAAAATATTTTTTATAAAAAAATATATAAAATAGGCAATTTAACAATATTTTTACAAAAATATTATACCTATTAGTGACTTAAAAATATCTATATAACTTCTAAATCGTGTTACAGACTTGTTCACGAAATCGACTTATTTTTATTAACTTAAAATCCCCAATTTATTTTGAATCAAATATTGCTAAAATTGGACGATAAATGGTTAGATATGTTCCCATTCTGTTGGAGTCATAGCTGAACCTGCTACTTTTTTCACTAGGTTTTTTTTTTCTAACCATAAAATTTTTTGTAATTTTTTTGTTTTAAATTATATCTTTTTCATTTTTTTTTATATATTTAATTTTAATTTATCGAAATTATATAAAGTACTAAATCAGGATATCATGTAAACTGCATATATGATAAGATATTTTGAAAAGAAAAGAAAAGAAAAATTTTGTCAAAAATAGTCATATTCTTCTGGTGGCGGCCATTTATCTTTTAAAAACAATTTTAAAATTGTAACTTAGTATTTCTAAGCTAATTTTTTTTGTTTGATTTCAAAAAAGGGTCTTTGAGAATTGTTTGTTTTAAGGTTTTTTTTGGTGATTCTAAGTTTGATTAGGGATTTATGGAAAAGGAGCAGGGGTATACTTTGCTATGCCCTTTTCCCAAATGAGCAGTTTGTTAAAACTATAATGTGAATATTTTGGGGGTTTCATTTTTTTTCCGCTATAACCCTAAATGGATCGTAATTATTATTTGATGGGGGAAAAAAATGTCTACATACACGTGAGGTCACTTGTATTTTTACCTATATCCCAGGGGGAAGCGGTACGCCCATCGGTAATGTTATTAAGAAGACCGATTAGGTGTTGATTTTAAAAGACTGCCCGATTGAGATTATAACTAAAATAAAATTATGTGAGACTAAATCTAACCTAAAGTACGCAATCCCAATGAAGGAAGGTTAGTAGGAGCTTGGCACGCTTGCCGCATCCTAATCCTTTTGTAAATTATAGAAAGCGGATAAATTGCGCGTATAAGATACGTTAGCAGGACCAGCATACACGGTTGTCGTCAAAGGGGTCTAATTAATTTATTATTCCTTATTTTTTTTATCAACAAGATGAATTGGACAAGACATATAAACCAATTTTTCGAATTTCATAACATATCCTTGCCAGCCGATCAAGTATTTTGGGTCAAATCCATCTCTTACATGGAATATATGAATAGCCTAATCAAGCTTAACATAAATGAAACCCATAAAACTAGGTATTTTTTTTAAAACAGAAGTATCTGTATCTTAATTTATTTCTTACTTATTTTTTAAAAAAGAACTTTTCACGATTACATAATGTGGCATGCTGTAGAACCCCTAATATCTCATTTGTCGAAAAAGTTCAGGGATGCACGTGACCCAGTCCTAATGGCGGACGATATAAAAGATTATGAAGACGTGGCAGTGCCCGCTTGGAAGAAATGTTTATACAAATTTCCCACGTTTATGCAATTCCCACTGAGTTCCCTCTACCTGAAATCTAATTTTAATTCCTCCGATAAATTAAAGGCAATATAGATTAAACATATATAATATATTATTGCAAAACTTTCTTTCTTTCTTTCTTTCTTTCTTTCTTTCTTTCTTTCTTTCTTTCTTTCTTTCTTTCTTTCTTTCTTTCTTTCTTTCTTTCTTTCTTTCTTTCTTTCTTTCTTTCTTTCTTTCTTTCTTTCTTTCTTTCTTTCTTTCTTTCTTTCTTTCTTTCTTTCTTTCTTTCTTTCTTTCTTTCTTTCTTTCTTTCTTTCTTTCTTTCTTTCTTTCTTTCTTTCTTTCTTTCTTTCTTTCTTTCTTTCTTTCTTTCTTTCTTTCTTTCTTTCTTTCTTTCTTTCTTTCTTTCTTTCTTTCTTTCCTTCCTTTCTTTCTTTCCTTTCTTTCTTTCTTCTATAAATAATTAATTTTTTTTTAAATTTCATTATCAAGTCAATATCATTTTTTTTTATTGGACATTTAAATTTATCTCCCAGGTGGAAGGAATGGTTGATTATTTGAAAATGGCTTATAAAGAAACTTTTCGGAATCTTGATTGGATGGATGAAATTACTAAGAATAGATCTATGGAAAAAGTTTATTTTATTTTTTTAAACATTCTCCATAACAAAACTATTCGTATTTGAATCAAATACCAAATAATTGAAATATATTATTCGTTCGAATAATTTTATATAATCTGACCAAATTATTCATAATTAATCGTTATAAATATTCGATAATTTGTTAGTGGAGTATTAAAAACTTACTTATATTCATAAAATATTTAACATTGTTCCCTTTAAGGAACATTTCATATTTTTACGTTTTAATATAAATTTTTTCCAGAGTTTGGAAAAAAACCAATTTATTTTAATTTTATAAACAAAAGGACCAAGGGAGAAGTGATAATTTGAGCAAATTTAGAACCGGAGCAAAAAAAATCATTTTAAAATTAAAGGGATGGCTCAAGACAAACCCGCCCCCCTCCCAATTTTTGATATACCTTACCTTAATTTTTTTAAAATTATTGCTAAATTTTTATAATGCTCTTATAGGTAGATGCGATAAGAGCTAAAATTGGCTATCCGGAATACATCGTAGATCCCAATGAATTGGACAAAGATTACGAAGGAGTTAAACAAAATATAAATATATATGGCATATGGAAAATATAATCAATATTGAATATATTTGAATTAAGTTTCTTAAGATTAAACTGTTCTCTTCTCTTCTCTTCTCTTCTCTTCTCTTCTCTTCTTCTTCTCTTCTCTTCTCTTCTCTTCTTCTTCTCTTCTCTTCTCTTCTCTTCTTCTTCTTCTTCTCTTCTCTTCTCTTCTCTTCTCTCTCTCTTCTCTTCTCTTCTTCTTCTTCTTCTCTTCTCTTCTTCTTCTCTTCTCTTCTCTTCTCTTCTCTTCTCTTCTCTTCTCTTCTCTTAATTTGGGTCACTTTTTAAACATCGAAATCTTTCTAAAAACTCGTAATGCCCTCTTACCTATTCAATAAGACATCACGTGATTTAAAAGGCTACAAATAATATATTATATTCTTCTTCTTTATAAAAGCTATATATGCGAGATGACACTTATTTTAAAAATTACGTCAGTCAAAGAAGTGCGAGTGACTTACAAGAAATCAAAAAACTTTTCGCGCCAGTAGATAAGAAACGGTTATTACAAATAAAAAATTAAAACCGTTTTATTCTAAGGAGAAAGAAAAGTATTTTTTTTTGACGTTTATATTTTTTCTTAATAAATTTTCCTTCATATAGTTATAGATATCTCTTAGGACCCAATCGACAGGTTTTTAAGTGTCATAGAGATCTGACTTTTTCGCCCCATACCATCACGCCCTATTTATTTTTAAAAAATATTACCCATTTTTATAAACTGTCGTAAAAATTTTAAAAAGGAAAATCTTATTGTTCTAATAAGAAGTAAGGAAGGAAGGAAGGAAGGAAGGAAGGAAGGAAGGAAGGAAGGAAGGAAGGAAGGAAGGAAGGAAGGAAGGAAGGAAGGAAGGAAGGAAGGAAGGAAGGAAGGAAGGAATGAAGGAAGGAAGGAAGGAAGGAAGGAAGGAAGGAAGGAAAGAAAGAAAGAAAGAAAGAAAGAAAGTCTTTCAAATTTATTTTAATATAAATTATAATGTTTATATATATAACAGATGGTCAGTATTACCTCACACTTTTAACGCTTTTTACTCCTTTTCCGCAAATGAAATATGTATATTTTTAAACAAAATTTATATATATATAATAAATATAATGAATTCTTTACTTATAAAATTACAAAAAAAAAATGAGGCTATCTTCTGCCATCCTCTCTCCATCAGATATCATTAAATTTTTTTTTGTATATATTAGATTCTCTTAAATAACTGAGAAAAATTCTAGATAAATCACTCAGGGTCCTGAGATATGAGCATTTCATATGTGCAAAACTTGAATTAAATTATTGAATTTTTAAAATATAATATTATTTTATTAATTTAACGTTACCTCTTTTAATTATATTAAATCGGCCCCAAAGAATATAAAGAGCATATAGGAAGTTAAAAACGCAAAGCGATTTTAGAAAGAACCTTTTCTCTAATTTTTAGGCGTTCATATATATTTAGGTTATTTCGGATTTTTCTACAGGTTTTGTCGTTTCGATAATGTAAAAAAAAGAGACAAATGGTTCAATTTTTTTGCCTCCCTTGTCTTAAATAACTTAAAATTATAATTAAAGTTGTTAGCCATTCAAATATGGCAGGATTTATTCAATATTCTACCCCAAACAGCCTTCTTAAAGATAAATATAATTCTTAGTACGATATTAGACACTTCTCTCAATGTTTCAAGATTCAAAGCCCATTACAACAGCTTGATGACCAAAATTTGACGGGTTTTTTATATATTGAAGTTATTGTTTTACACATATTTTGGCTATATCGCCGTATTTACTTCAGAAATTTATCACGCCACTTAACTTGATTATCATAACTTTGTAAAATGCCCTTCACATGCTAACACCTGCTACATCAAGCTCATTACCAGTAATATGACCCTTATAATGGGGATCCAATAAATAATCCTCAGTTGTGAGCAGACGTGTTTGGATTAGTGTTGTTAAAAGGCTTGTAAAATCAATATATCATTCAGAAAAATATTACGCAACCCTGAAGATTTAGTTCCTAGAAGGAACAAAGGTCTAGCTAGACACATATTATCGAAATCTCGAATAGGGAATATTTTTCTGGCTAAAATATTAAGTTAACAACACTAGTTTGGATCATTTTTTCTTATTCAAACATATCTTTAATTTTTTTTTACTCCTTTTAGGTGGAAAAAATGGATAAATTATGGCATGATTGAAACATGCGTTTTTCCAAATTAAACTTGTTATTTTAAGTGGGCCCAAAAAATATATATTCATCCCTTTGCACTTACAACAATGAGATAGCTAAAATTGTTAAAGAATAGTTTTAGAATTTCTAATTTTTTTTTTTCCATTTATTAATTTAATAAATTATTGGTATATAACTTCTTTTGGACGAATATCCAACTTCGTCAACAGCTGCTTTCCGAGCTTTCTAGTATATTTGTATTTGTTCCTCACATTTTATTGATGAAGCCTATCTTGTTTGGATTTGTTCATATTATAATATAAATTGGCAGGCTATTAATAATTTTCTCAAATCATGCTTTAGCAAAAATTATTATATCTATTTATATATTGAGATCGGATCAAATTAATAATGATATTTTTAATATAAAATAGCAGAGTTGTTAAAAGATACTTTTTAATTGGATCTAGATATAGATACATCGTCTAAAATAATATCTTGATACAGATATTTTAATCAAAAATCTATCTAGATACAGATAAGATACCACATTTTAATATCTAGATACAGGATCTAGATACTTGTATCTCTTTAACAACTCTGTAAAATAGTAATAAATTCGATGCCTTGATGATGCATAAAATTGAAACCTAATTAGAATTGATAAACATGCTTTAAATATATGTATATTAGTTTAATTAAATCAAATATATTTAATTCACCAATAATATTTTTTAGAGTATTTGAACGTATTTGACCAGGTCATACTATATTCAGCAGCAATTTCAATAATTAACTCCATGTTATTTAAAATGATCACGAAATATTTAGTAAATTGGAACTAAATTTATTTAATTTTCTAAATAAAATTTCTAGATATTTCCCATTTCAAAAAATCTTGCGCTTAGAATACCTCATATCTCGTTCCCTATGGTGGTTTAAATACAAAATTTCTCAGTTAAAAGATATCTGAAAAGGGTTTTGGCTGAAACTCTCGTTTATTTCTCTTGGGATTCACTATATCTTATCAAAGAAATTAATTATATTTCATTTTTTTTTCTTATTATCTTAATTTTTTTCTTTCTTTCTTTTAAACAAAATAAATAATTTGCACTAGACCTCCCCGCCGGAATTTTGAGGAAGCCATTCTACGATAAAACTTATCCAGAGTACGAAAGAATCATAATTTATTTTATTATAAATGTCAGAGCGCATGCGTAAAGACTTAACGGCAAGATGGGGGGGGGGGGGTAATGATATGCGCCGAAACGAGAATAAGTCATATTTTTTTTTGAAACAGTAGTATCTGCCGCTCAGTCTTTATTGATTTTGTTCAGAAATCGTTTTAAAGCTATTGCTTGTACTTGATACGGAATAGGCTTCATATTTGCTAATATATAAATAATTTGTGATTCTTAATTGTGTTTCGTTTAGCTCTTATCAATTTGGAACTATAGGTAGTGTTATAACCCACGAAATAGGACACGGCTTTGATGTTGAAGGTAAATATCGTATGTTTATTCTGATTTGTCCTAAAAAAAGGATCTTATAAGGAAAGATTGGAATGGAAAATTGTGGAAAAATAGATAAGATGACAATTTTTATTTTATAGGTAGGAAATATGATAAAAATGGTAATCGGAACTTGTGGTGGACAAATAAATCTATCGAAGCCTTCGTAAAAAAAGCAGTTTGTTACATATACCAATATTCCAATTATTCTATCAATGGCAATAAGGTATATTATATATCATTATCTAATCATGAAGGGAAGAAGAAAAAAATTGTTATTAGATAGCATTATAATGTCTAGTTGGTTGACAAACTAGTAAGACTAACATTAAGACACAACATTAGAAATCTTTGTCAATATTTGTAAATCTTCAGTCCTTTAATTTTTTTTATTTGAAAAGGTTATATCATTTTTTTTAAAAAAATATTGCTTTCTCTTTGTATGATTACAATATTTATCCAAAGTTGGACGGCAGACAAACGTTAAGAGAAAATATAGCAGATAATGGGGGAGTTGCTATATCTTTGAAAGTAATAAAAATTATTCAAAAATTGAATTATTGTGAATAAATGAATGAAAGAAAGAAATAAAAGAAAGAAAGAAAGAAAGAAAGAAAGAAAGAAAGAAAGAAAGAAAGAAAGAAAGAAAGAAAGAAAGAAAGAAAAATAAAAAGAGTCATGATTGAGCACAAATCTTTCTCACAAATAATCCCAGAATTAGAAAGATTTTTAATCTTATCCTTTTTTTTTTACTAGCAGATACATTTCAGAATACTTTAAAAAATCTTTGAAGATATTTTCTCAAACTATGCTTATTACTATATAAAAAAATAACAACACCACTGAATATTTGTTCTGGCTCGCCATTAATTTAAAAAATAATAGTAATGAAGTTGAGATTTAGATCACGATAATTGTTACTTTTTAGGTATATTTATTTCTAATTAAAAATTGAAAAGTAATATCCGTCCACCGCTATTGGGCTAATGAGTATCGACAACACATCATTATGCTAGGGTAACGATGGGCCTTTGATTTAAAATTACTTAGAAGCCTGTGCTGATTTTTTAAAACTGATATGATTATCAGATAATATTATTAGCATTTAGAATTTAAAATTTAGGAGTTTGCAGTATACACATTGAATGGAGTTATGGTAAGATAAAAAAAAAATTATATTGTTGTTTGGGATAGATTCATTTCTAAGAGATGTAAAAAAATTACAAAGATTCCTTACAAGACTCAGTCTAAATATTCACTTTTAAAACAATTTGGCTATCTTCATATTCCGATGCTATCTTGATCTTTGCATAACTATTATTCTATGAAAATAATGAATAGTATTTTATTAGTAAATTAAAACCCTAAAAGAGTTTTAGAAAAATAAATTGTTTGGGCATATTTTATTAAAAACCTATAATTTAAAATTAAAATACTTGTTGCATTTAAAAAATAATAGGCATTGAAGAGTTATCAGGCCAGGAAAAGGAGGGATGAATACCCTTTCAAATCCGATACAATCGAAGATCAACTATTCTTCCTTGCTTATGCTCAAGTTTATTTATATGAATGTGTTATTAAAAAATAAATATATACATTTTAAAAAATAATATATAAGAGTTATTGTTCTAAGGACACGCCCGAAGCTCTATATGAAAAAATTATATCTTATTCTCACAGCCCTGGCAAATACAGGTTTGTTTATATGTATATATTATACTAAATTTATTATTCAAAATCCACTTTTAACATTATTAGCCAACATATAGCAGCCATTTGGATTCTCTTTCATTCTTTCTTTCTTTCTTAATTCGACATGTAGATTCAATATTAAACTTTATGATTTATATTAAAATCTAATATAAAAACAGAGTAAACGGAGTTTTATCCAACTTTAAACAGTTTTCAGAGGCGTATAACTGTTCAGCTAAATCCGCCATGAATCCTCCTAACAAGTGTACCATCTGGTAGTTTAGATCGCGTCTCGGAAAAAAAATGAAAGAATATTTGAACAAAAAAAGAGTCATTTAATATTATACACAAACTATTTAAAGCCAAATTAATTCTCACATTCATATATTATATAATGTTAAATTGACTATGATAACGGTCAATACCCGATCCGGTTTATAGCGGATTTTCAAAAACCGATACTCGATGTACCAATAACAATGATTTTTTTTTGTTATTCATTTAAAATAAATGTTATGACCTTTCTCATTAAATTAATATTGGGTGTAATTTGTAAAGTCTCGGTTTTATTAAAACATCATAAATTTTTAAAAATTGATGAGATATAAATTATATTGAAATAATCATTTTAACATGTGGTTTAATTTAAGATTATAATTTATAAAATCGTTAAATAATTAAATTTCACAACTTTCTAAACTCAATGAATCTAAATAATAAGCTCTTTTAAATATAAAAATAAAAACATGTCCAAATTTCAAAAAATATACATGCAATTTTCTCAAAAATCTTTTATCAAACTATATGCCACGATGTTCTTCTTTATCTTGCCATTCACATCCGGCAAAACTGCAAAGATAGTAATGCATGGGTGCTCCAGGAAATTTTCTAGGGAGTTGCAAAAAAATTCATTGTAATTTGAAAAAATATTTTAGGCTTTTTTTTTAAGGCAAGCTTTTATTTTTAATATAGTTATATTATATAGTGTTATAGCGATATAAGTTAATTAATGAATATAAAAATCGTGATACATTGGTATAAACAGTTTCAAATATATATTGTAGAAAAAAGTATATTATCGTATATCATAAAGTCTTATCATTAGTTTGAAGTTGATGCAGAACAATTCTTTTAATTTTTTTTCCAGAATGTCTTGCTAGTGGTATTATCTAGCACGCTGCTACAGGCACCTATATGGCACATTTTATTATTGTCTCCTTCTCATTCAATCAAATACCAATTAACTATATATTGCAAACTAAATAAAGATATAATCATTGAGACACCTAACACTATAAACAATAAAGTAATGATACTAACACGTGATTAAAAATCGGCTGAATCCACTCAAATGGTGGACGTCATACTAACTGAACCCAATTCTCTGGAACAATAATTAAATCCTAATTTGAGATTTTCTTATATCGATTCCATAGCATGCAATGTAAATCTCATTGCTGAATGGGAAAATAAGTTACCAAATAGCCCCTGTTTCTAATCATATTCCTACTCATAATAGCCACCACTCCAATATCTTTGACCGTAATTTTCTCTCTTTCATTTTAACATAAACGACTTTTTACGAAGATACGGGACAAAAATAAAATTATGTTACTAGAAGAACAAAAAATTAAATTACCTCTCTATAATTTTATGATAATTAATAAAACTGTTATGTTATATTATAATCACTATTTAATGTCGCATCATTTAAAATAATTAAGGTGTTTTATTTCTAATTTTTTAAATCATTCATTTATTCCGCAAAATTACTTTGCTTTCCCCCATTTTAATGCTAATTATCAATAAAATGCAAAAACGGAATTTTTTCAATACCTGTTTTATAAGATAGAATTGGTGTGGTTGAAGTAATGTATTTAACACATTCTATAATTGTCATCGAGTCAGATTTTAATATGATAACGGTCAATATCCGATCCGGTTTGAAGCGGATTTTCAAAAACCGATACTCGATGTACCAATAATAATGATTATTTTGGGTTATTTATGTAAAATAAATATATTATAACTTTCTAATTAAATTAATATTGGTGTGTATATGTAATGTCTAGGTTGTTACAGAATATATATATCATTACAATAAATAATATATGATGACATCTTTATATATATATTTTTGTCCACAATTTCAAATATGTTTTTAAATATATCAATCTATCATTTTAATTTATGCAATAATAAAATAAAATTATAAATCCTAATTTAAACGATGATACAATACAAACTGAATTTAAGTAAGCGATAAAATATATATTAAAACTGTTACATGTTCGCTTAATTTGTTGTAATTCATTGTATAATTAAATACTTCTTAAATATTTCGCTTATTCAATTTGTTGTAATTGAATATTTAAATATGTTCATATTATCTTTTTATTCAATGAAATTAACATGTATATAAATACATCTCAAGGCGATTAAATATATATATATTGATATATATTTTCATTTTTAAACACCACTTGCTTTTTTTTGTATAACCATATTATAAAATAAAAAGACATTACATCAACGTCAATATTCTAATAAAATAATCAATAAAGACTATCATTTTTCTTCGATTGAATTTAATAAAGTGTCTTTTTTTCTGTCTAATTTTTATCCTGTGCGACCATCCTAATAACCATTCTAGATTAAATCTTCAAGCCTATAATTTCACCTTTTCTTTTTTATCAAAAACTAAAATATTTTAAATCACACCTCATGAAGCATTCAACTAAAAATATATTTAGGTATGATAACAATATCCTATCGAGATATTTTTTATGCAATAAATAACTCTCCTCCCCCCCATCCATTTCTATACTAGACTCAAAGACCTTAGAGCTTTAATTAAAAAAATAATTGAAAATATCAGTAAAAATTCTAATTTTTAATTTCAACGCCAACATTTGAGGAATAATTTTCTGAGTTCTAACTCTTTATTCTGAGCCAAAATTATATTAAATAAAATTATACATTTTGTCAATCGAATATTTTTTTTAAAAAAAATATCACAAATGCTTCCTATTATGTTCAAAATATAATAAGTTTTAATAAATAAAATGTAAAAATATTAATAGATAATATAGATGTAGCTAAATATTTTAGGGGCAAATAATAAACAAATTTATATATTTAAAACTATAATTTTTACATTTACATAATCTAAATCTCTCAAATTATTGGATACAAATAAATTGCCCATCTAACAATCGAGAAGAAAAAGCGATTCTCGTCAGCTAAAGGATTGACTATAAAGATTTGCATTATGTTAATCATAACATATGTAACATGTTACATGTTCGTAACTATATATTTTTGTTTTATATTAATATAATTTTTTCATTTTAGATGGCTTAAGGCAATGACATTATATAATACCTAGACTGACCATTCATTCATTAAAGGTTGTACATCAATGCAAATCAGCTGGGGACGCCATCTTGTTTACAAGTAATCATTATTAAAATTTTATACGAGAGCGCCTAATTTATTTCTATATCTGATGCAAACTTTATTTAAAAATTACCTGATCATCGAGGTAATAAGGAAGCAAGTTATCTATTTTAATAGTAGTTTGTAACATGGGTGTTACCAAAATGGCGGATCCAACTGATTTGCATTTCAACGACGTTTAAAAATGCATTTTAATGAATGAATGAATCGTCAGTCTAGGTATTATATATGTCATTGGTTTAAGGCGATCGATATATAATATTATAATTATATATCATATGTTGTAAATTGGATAACGTGATTATTTTATATAAATATAGTAACAGATTTTTATTTCTAATTGATATAATAAAGAAATCTTCCTTATATTTAAATTTCCGACTAATTCCTATATATGACGTCCAAAAAAACAAGCTAACATTCCCCCGCTTGATTTTCGCCTCTCGACAACATAACATTAAAAATTAATTTGCTTTTATGTAAAATTACTTTTATATTAAAAAATAATGTATATTTATGTATGATCGACAGTGACCCATATGGATGCTCAAGTTGAAACGACAGGGTTCTATTGATATTCTTTTGTAAGCATTCTTTTGGATCGCCTGTGATTAAACGTGACCTTTTCCCTATTTGTTTTGAATTATTTTGGCCCGTAATCCAAATGATCCACATCAGGTGTCTGAGACTATGGGAACAAACAAAACATTATTAAAGGTGGCTATATATTTTGCCCATTCGTGATGGAGTTGGCAGAAAAAGATCTGGCAAAACCGATCTACGCACGTATTAGTCCAAAGCGATGTAAACCTTGGTTCCAAGGGACTAGCGTCATTCCATCCGGTCTGGTTTGATTATCAAGGATGTGGCCAGAGGGTTCTAGTGAAGAAGGAATATTGGTGGATTTCATTATTCTTTTGATAATTGCATCTTTTGAAAAGCGACAGTGTAGGGGGTGGTGTCCAAGACTATCGATATGAGTATCAAACAGGACACATGATGTAGGCGTTACGAATTCGCAGCCTAATGTTGTCATTTTGTGTACTTGGGGTAATATGGAGAAAGAACGATGGAGATTTTCTTTGAACAGCTTAGAAGTGTAAGTATTCGACGTAATGCTGTATTAAAGGTACCAGTCTCTTTGTCTTTAAGAATTTGGCTAAAAGCTGTTCGGGGCAATTTTGCTCCAGGGTTCTAATGCCGCCGTATGATATAGATCTTAGTATCCAAGTCTCCATTGTGTATCGAAATTTAGCAACTGGGTATAAAAAGGCTGAAATGCTCAAGGATATTGGAGCTTTGGTGGAATGGTAGCTTGCATGCATAAGTGTGACGAGAATTTGATATTTAAAATAGATTCGAGAGTATTTTTTAAATGAACTTTAAGGTCTAATAATATTTCAGGGGATGTGAAAATTGTTGATGAAAGAAAGGCATGTAGAATCTTTGTAATAAATATTAAAAAATTTAAGTAAATAAAAAGCCTGATGAGCAGATAAATGTATTAAAACATCAATCTATTGAATTTGGCAAGGAATTCATTTCTAAAATGAAATACAGCCTTTTCCCCTTCAATGGGTGAACCTAGGTGGGTAAAGTTAGCTTTGTCAACTACAATAAAATTTTCGGGTGGGCAGTCCGATTCAATGGGGGAATAAAATTCACACTTATTCGGGTTTTATGACAGTCCTGCTGTAGGGGCTAAGCGATTTATAATTGTAGTAGTTTTTATAATTTCATTATATGGGCCCGATAGTGTGCCGTTATCGAAGTTCCAAACATTTAAATATTTTTATGATTAATTGAATGCCCTTGACAAAATAATAGAGGACCTAAAGGATCTCCTCTTTGGATGCCTTGTTTAGAGAGTGATAGAATCATTCAATTTTTTTTTAAAAAAAAGTGGATTGGTTGTAAAATGCTGAAATGTATTTTGAATAATCTGGGAAATATCACAGAAAAAGGGTATAAAATGTTCCCTTCTAATTGAATTGAAGGCATTTTGTAGATCTATTTTGAGGATGCATTGATAATGTGTATTA